GGACGTTTTGGGTGTATCCGTAACCGGCAAAACGACCTTGGGCTTCGCAGCACGACGCGCATTGTTTGATTTGACAAGCGTGCTCGTACGTAGGAATCTCTTAATCGTTTTAATAACCGGAAGCGGATCACGCTTCTCCATACGGGGAACAGCCTGAGGGTATTTTTCCAAGCCGATTGGGCTCGCAGGCTGTTCCTCATCAGAAGAGGAATCTAGCGAGACGTCGTCTGAGGTGTTCAGTTCGTCGATAACAATTGGGTTTCGCGATAGGGCATCAGCGTTAGTGTTAAATTTCCCCGGTTTGTGCGCGAAATCATATTCGTAATCCCGTAATTTCAATCTCCAACGTACTAAACGTTGACCGGGATCCTGAATCGAATTTATCCACCTCAACGGCTCATGGTCACTCACTAATTTGAATTTTCTACCGTACAAACATGGTCGAAAATGCAATACCGCATATAAAACGGCTAAACATTCCTTTTCGGTCGTAAAATAGTTCCGTTCCGGTTTAGTTAACGTGCGAGAAAGGTATGCTACCGGCAAATCATGTCCATCTTTCTCCTGACTCAAAACGGCTCCTATTGCAAAATCTGAAGCATCGGTAGTTAATGTAAACGGCTTATCGAAATTTGGATATTGTAAAATCGGTGCACGACACAGTGCTCTTCGTAACGCTTTTTCTGCTCTTTCCCCCAAACGAAAGGAACATTCTTTTTCAGCAAATCTGAGAGAGGTTTTGACTTTTCCGCAAAATTTTCAATAAAACGTCTATAATAACCCGCCAAACCTAAGAATTGTCTAATGTTTTTCGCGTTCTTTGGCCGCGGAAAATTCTTAATAGCAACGATCTTTTTAGGATCAGGACGGACTCCACGCTTGCTAATTACGTGTCCTAAATACGCGACTTTGGTCTTAAGAAATTCGCATTTATCGGGTTGCAACGTTAAACCGGCATCGGCTAGGCGTGTAAATAGACGTCGAACCTTTTTACCGTGTTGATCTAAATTTTTCGGGTTAACGACTATATCGTCCAAATACACGAAAACTTCTATTGCAACCGGCGCAAAACCTGATCCATGAGTCGCTGAAATGTGGCTGGCGCGTTCTTTAAGCCTTCGGGCATGCGAATATATTCGTAGTGCCCGTTTGGTGTACTAAAGGCAGTTTTATGGCGGTCTTTGGGGTCCATTTCGATTTGCTGAAACCCGCTTGCTAAATCAGAGACAGAAAAATACTGTGCGTCTCCGATGTGATCTGTAATATTTGGTAAAGGGTATGCGTCACCTATTGTCTTTTCATTCAACTTGCGAAAATCTATTACCATTCTCCAACGTGGGTGTTCCTTCGAATCTGGTTTCTTGGGTACTATCCACAGAGGAGAGTTGTAAGGCGAATTTGAGGGTGTAATAATGTCGTTTGATAATTTAGTTAAAAATTGTCGTCCTATTTCTTGCTTGTGTACTGGTGGAAATCTGTATTGTTGTGTAGTTAATGGTATGTCATCTATTGTCGGTATGTTGTGTTTTATGTAGGTTGAAGCTTGTAATTTATCAGACGGAAGATGAAAACGGTCAGGAAATTCTTCAACTATCATTTCTACATGCTCACGTTCTTCGTCACTTAAGTGGTCTAGACGCGGTTTACTTAGAATTTCGGTAACTCTGTCAGTTGTTACATTAGGTATGCTATCGGTAGCGGAATCGTCTTGTTCTTCCGGAAAACAATGATAATCAAAAGGTATCAGTTCCTGTGCAGATATTGTTAGTTCGAGATCTTCATTGAGCGAATTTATCGCTAAAACATGACATACGCCCTGGTTATTAACCAAAACAGCAGCTTCGCCGACATACAGGCCGTCAACTGTCGTTAAACGCGGCAAATAACCCTCTTTTAATTTGTTGTTAACGACATCGATCGCGATAGGTTGTCTTGTATGAGCCTTTACGATATATGTACGCTGTTCTAATTTTCGTCGTTCACTGTAATCTAACGAACGCTGATCGACAAATCGGATCGGTGGAACCGGATCTGAGCTCGTGACTAAGGTATTATTCGCGAACGAGATTTCGGCTAGCTCTTGGCTAGATATTCCTGCCCTAGGATCCCGTTGGTGTTTAACGGAAAATCTGACATGGAATCGAACTGGTTTTCCTTGCAAATGAAGTATCGCGGTTCCGATTGTTCGATCCTTTTGCGGAGTAATACCCGTTATTAATGTAGCCTCGTGCGTGGCTATCGGAATATTCGTCAATAATGTGTCTAATTTGATTAAATTAATTTCTGCTCCAGTGTCTATTAGAAAATGTGCGACTTTTGACTGAAAATCTGTGGACGACATCTTGACTATCGGTGTTTCACGCTTAGTTTCTATCGATAGTACTGTTTCCGTTGGAATGTGACCTGCGGATGACGAGTCGTATTCAAGTTTAAAGATTCCCGTGCTGCTGGCGACGGTAACCTTCGGCTCGATGGTCCAGCCGTCGGCTCGCGTGAAGGTGGTGTACACGGCCGTGAATCACGCGTCCTTGCAGGGGACGTTTCCCGTTTGTCGTCCGCTTGCGATCGCGCACCACACGTACATTTTCGTTCCTCCGTACATGGTTCCTTCCTGTGCAATACTCTAACAGGACTCGGTGTTCTATCGCGTGGATATGACACGTTACGCGACGTTTCCATAGGTCGAATGGGCGAACTATACCGAGGGTACGCGTAGCTGCGATTCCTATTTGGACTATCGTTATATCGCGGTTGGTAATCATAATCATCATTTCCGCGATACTCGCGTTCGTAAGATGGCCGACGTAGATCGTACGATGTGGATAGTCTATCTTTAAGGCATGTTTCCAGCTGCAGAGCAGCTTCTAGTGCGTCTGCCAAGGTTTTTGGATTTTGCGCTTGCACGCCATGTGCTATCTCATCTGGCAATCCGCGAAGAAACGCGTTCAGCGCGGTGCCCGTTATCGGTTTCAGGATAGCGGGCGCTTGTTCCCCGTGCTCGATTTTAAGGAAGTCCTCCATTCCAACAAACGAGGTTCGGATACGGTCATGAAATGCATAAACTGACTCGTCACAGTGCATACGAATATTAGCGATTTTGAGATAATAATCGTTAAACGTCCTATCCGGCGTAAATCGACGCTTTAAATGTTTTATCAATTCCGGGACGGTTTCAAATCTCAACCCGTGAACACTGTCGCGAGCTTCTCCTCTCAGTTTGGAGATTACGAGGCACAAAAACCCGCGCGTTGACGTCGTTGGAAGACTTTCCGCATTGTATTCTACTTCCGTTAAAAAATCTCCAAACTGAGAGGAGAAGCTCGCGATAGTGTTCACATTATGCCGGGGCGTAACAATATATTCTTGTATGTGCATAATAATAAAAATACTATAGTCTTTTCGATTATTTTTTAAGACCAAATATATAAGATTTTAAATTGCAAGGAAATTTAGAACTACTCAAACAATCTTGCATTCTAAATATTAAATTTGTAAAAGATTAGTTATTTAAATTATTATATAGTAAACTAGCTGTGTTACCCGGCGCTGCCCGGGTGGTATTTTGTCTAAGTGTATGAGCAAAAAAGATGAATGCTAAATGCGGGAAGCAGCACCGACAGCGTCGCCATTCATCCCCACCGCTGAGGTATGAAGGTATTCCCACTACTATGTCAACACTGCAGCGGCGGGGATTAGCAATTCTGCTGAACTGTTCTGCGCTACGATTTACACAAACGAAATAAATAATATTTTATACATTTTCCGATACAACAGCGTAATAAAACTGAGCTTATGTCCTTCGCAAGGTTATAAGGAACACGTCTAAAAAAATCGGATCAAAATCGAAGCAGTAGATTTGGAGATTACCCTGCACAAAGAAAATGCTTACAGCTTTATATATTAGTATAGATTTTATATTTAACATTTTATTTGATATTATTTGTAATATACCGTTGTTACATAAATATTTGGTGTTAAGACCATGTATAACTGTTCGAGCGTCGAACGAGTAATCTAGAAATTTCTAGATCGCTTCCTTCGTCTCTGCTGTTCGTTCCGCCGGCCTCCAGCCATCTCACTCGCTCCGTTGGCCGACGTAGCGAGCCAACTGGGCTGCTAGACCGGCGGGCGACGGCGGGGACGAAGGAACCATAATATAAATATGCCGCCGCATACTTGCGTACTTGCTTTTTCTTCATACACGGCTTAGCGTACAAGTTCTTCTGAAATTCGAACAATCTGCTTCGGTTAACAAGAACTGTTAAACTTTTCTTTTGATTACTCTTTATTCAAATACAATTTTCAGAATCAAAGATCCTCCGTAATCACTATTCGCACCTTTTTCTATACGCGTTTTGCAACTCGGAAGGTATCGCTTCGGCAAGGTCGCGCACCGGCAAAAACTTTCGTGCGAATCCGTTCTCTAACCCCTTTCCCGGTTAAGGGGCGAAAACGATCAAACAATAACTGTTTGCGTATTTGCGTGGTCTGAAAGGTCTGAAATAACACGCCTGCGTAACGATCACACTTATATTTAATTAACACTGAAAAATTATATACAATAGTCACTCGCGGGTTCAGAGAAGCACACGAGTGGTCAGAAATGTACAAAAGAATTACACTAAGTTTTGCGTGGACCGATAAAATACATTCAATTGTTAAACTGCGTGGGCTCAAACTTAATAGCTAACTAAACTAATGTGTGGTAATTAACGAAAGGCGCGGGCTGAAACAATCAGCGTCTCGTGGGCACAGAGAAACTTGTACAAAGCATGGACTGCGAACGCACGTGGTTGCACGTCGAACGATCGTACAAGAAGAACAAGAATCGATCATGGCGTCGATCGTACCGGTTCCGTGTGGAGAGGGGACCGCGTGGACAAAGTGGGCCCGAGAGGTGCTGCCGCTATCGGTAACGGCGCGCCAACGAAATATTTTCGTTGCCAACTTCGTCGTTCTGCGTAGGCATGGGGAATTTCGCCAACATTTCCCCCCGGCCATCAGCGACTGGTCGGTGATGTGGTCTGCGTGTCCGAGCTGTCCTGAGAGGGCTGATGAAGAATGGCCAGCTTGGCGATGGGCCGCGTTAGCGTCGTGGTGGCCGTCTTGAGTTCGACGACTCTGGTCAATCCGTCCTTGCCTGGCAGGAGTCTGAGAACCCGCGCCATGGGCCATTTCCCTGGAGGCAAGCGTTTGTCAGTAATAAGAACAAGAGTGCCTACCTTGATCTCATTAGATGGATGGTGCCACTTCGAAATTGCCTGGAGTCGTTGCAGGTACTGCGTGGACCAGAGTCTCCAAAAATGTTGGAGGCGCTGCTGCAGAAATTGCCACCTTGACAAACGGTTGACTGCGACGTTTAGAAGCGTGGGCTCTGGCACTGCGTTGATCTGCGATCCAATCAAGAAGTGTCCTGGTGAGAGGGCTGAGACGTCGTCAGGATCGTCGCTGAGTGGTTCCAGTGGCCTTGAGTTGAAGATCGCTTCTATCTGCGCAAGCAATGTTACTGATTCCTCGTACGTCAGTAAAGCGTCCCCAACTGTCCTCGTGAGATGAAACTTGAGTGATTTTACAACCGCTTCCCATTTTCCACCCATGTGTGGAGCGGCAGGAGGGTTGAAATGCCACTGAGTTCCATTCTCAGCGAGCAGTGCTGCGATGTGCGGATTTTCCTGTGTGCTCTGCGTGAACTGCTTCTTTAGTTGCGTGTCTGCTCCTTGGAAGTTGGTGCCGCAGTCTGAATAGAGAGCGGCTGCAATGCCCCTTCTTGAGGTAAATCTGCTATAAGATGCGATGAAAGCGTCTGTAGAGTCGTCCGAAACAACTTCCAAGTGCACAGCGGAGGTTGCGAAGCACACGAATACGCAAATCCACCCTTTCTGCGTCTTGGCTCCTCTGCCCTTCCACGTTTCCAGCTTGAGCGGTTCTGCATAGTCCACCCCAGTGTGGGTGAACGGGCGCGATGGAGTGACCCGACAAAGTGGTAGTTGGCCCATCAGTTGATGGGCACGGATTCCCCTCTGCCGAGCACACTTCACGCACCTCAGGATATGCGTTTTCACTGGAGCTCGTCCACCGATGATCCAGTAGCGTTGTCTGAGAAAGGCAAGAGTGGACTGCGTACCTCCGTGCATTGTCTGACGATGGGCGTGGTCGATGAGAAGCGTTGAGAGTCTCGAATCACGAGGCAAAATGACAGGGTGTTTGCCATCGTGCGAGAGTTCTGAATGTTGGAGGCGTCCTCCTATCCTGGCGATTCCTTGATGATCGAGGTAAGCAGTGAGCCTCGCGAACGGATGCGTCGACGGAAGCGTTGTTCCTTTGGCGAGTGCAGCGAGTTCGTCTTTGAAGAACGTAGACTGCGTGGCCTGAATCCAGTAGATTCTGGCCCTTTCCATATCAGCTGCTGAGATGAAAGGCGTGGGCGAAGCGTCGTGTCGTTTGAACAGCTTGTCCACGAATTTGAGGCAAAGAGCGGTAATTCTGAGTAATCTATGAAAAGAAGAATATTTATAGATCAATTCCCATGAATATTCTTTTGCTGCGTTTGCCGTGTGAAGTGAAACGACAGCACGAGCTTCAGGGGCGCCCAACTCGTCTGCGTCGACACTGGTCTGCTTGGGCCATGCGTTCTGCGATTGCGTGAGCCACGGTGGTCCCGTCCACCAAAGCGAGTGTTGTTGAAGCTGATCTGTCGTCATGCCTCTTGACGCGCAGTCAGCTGGATTCGATGGATTTTGGTGGATTCGACCTGGTACATGCCTCCAGTGATAGTTCTGCGTGATCTCCTGGATTTGGATTACCCTGTTGCGTACGTAATCCTTCCATTTGGAGGGGTGCGTTCTGATCCATGCCAGCGTAACTTCTGAGTCTGTCCACACAAATGTCTGAGAAACGTCAATGTCTGAGAAATGTCAAAGTAGCGTGAACATGCCGCATCAGTTTTGAGAATCGCAGCGCTGCTGTTAATTCCAACCTCGGGATGGTCAGACATTTGAGTGGTGTCACTCGCGTTTTCGAGCGGATCAGAGATGTGTTGGTACCCGTGGACGGTGAGTGGACAACGAGGTAGACGACGGCTGTCATTGTGAAGACTGAAGCATCAGAGAAACCATGTAGTTCAACCGTAGACGTGGTCATTGTGTTAAACCACCGTGGAATGGATAGCCTGGCCAGGCGCGTTAAATCTTCCCTGATGCGAAGCCAGCGATTCGTGATAGTGAGAGGCAGAATGTCGCCCCAGCCGAGTTCCTGTAACCAGAGCTCTTGAATTAGAATTTTGGCTCTAATGACTACAGGTGCAACAAAACCGAGAGGATCAAATAGTTGTATTACTTCGGAGAGGACGAGGCGTTTCGTGAACTGCGTGCGTTGAGTAGCTGATATGGTTGCAAAGTTGAAAGCGTCTTCATGCGGTGTCCATTTGATTCCGAGAATCTTGGTTTCGCAGTCGTCAAACGAGATTCCAGCGTTGTTCTGATCGGTAGCGAGGGCTTCAAGCAACGACTTGCTGATGGAGTGCCATTTTGCCAAAGGAAATCCACCAGCTTGGCGAAGTTGCGTCAGCTGATTTGCAACGTCCTGTAGATGTTCTGCGGTATCTGCGCCACCAAAAATGTCATCGACATACCTGCCATTCTTGATGGGTTCCACGGCAAGATACGGTGCTGCTTTCGTTCCGTACGTGACCGTGGTCAGCTGGTACTGCGTTTCCTGTTGCGTTTCATCAAGCCAGAGTATCTACTGCAAGCTCCAGTCCTCCGGATGCACCTTAATTTGTCGGTACATCTTCGTGACGTCGGTTGCAAACAGATGTTTGTATCTGCGTATCCAGATGAGCAGATCTGCGATGTTCAGCATCAGATTTGGACCGGTGTGTAGAAGATCATTCAATGAGTATCCTGATGAAATTGGGCTGGAGCCATTGAACACCACGCGCAAAGCGGTGGTCGTGCTGCCCAACTTGAGAACGCCATGGTACGGAAGAATGTACTGAAACGGACTGATTATTGAGTCATTGTTCAGTCTTACCATGTGACCAAGCTGCTCATATTCGAGCATGAACTTGGTGTACAGCTGTTTGTACTGAGCGTCCTTGCTGAGTCGTCTGAGAGTCCGTTGGAGACAATTGTGCGCCGTCTGGTACGAATTGCCGAGTGCTCGTGGATGAAGTTTGAGCGGCAATCGCACGATGTATCTTCCTGCGGAGTCTCTTGAATGCGTGGTCTTGAAATGATCTTCGCACTCTTGCTCCTCTGGTGTGAGCAAGGGTGCCGTGTCCTGCGGTGGCTCTTCCTGCGTCCAGAAGCGGCTGAGTAACTCGCTCAACTGGCGATCGGTGTTATTGACCGTCGCCTGATGAGAAGTCCTGCGAATGATCTGAATGCCCTCCAGGGGCCCGATTACGAGCCAACCGAAGATCGAAAGTTGTGCGATCAACGGTGTTGAAGCGTTCCGAATAATGTTTGGCTTGATGACTTGCCCGTATGCGTCGGCTCCGAGAATGATGTCCACTGGTCTGGATTTAACAAATTGCGGATCTGCTAGATTCAATTTCTCCAGATGCGATGGCAGCGCTGGACGAGCTGGTGGTTCTGACGGTAAGCAAGTGGTCACCTTTGTAAGCACGTGCGCTTGAACGGTGACTGAGAGCGACCTGTAGTTTGAATGGAGGGTAATTGTTCACGCGATTTGGTTGAGCGGGCTCCGCCAACTTGATAACGCCGTGATAAGACAAGCGAGTGCCGGATTGGGTAGGGCGTGAGTGAGAAAGAAGTTGATTTTAGCGGTTTGCACAATGTGTATTGTACTCGTCTGAATTACAAATCCGATTAACAAATAGGATTAAGAATTTGTGCCGAAGCGTCGGTTCGGCGCTTAGACTGTAGCGGAACGAAGCTCGACGTTCGATAGACAGAGACGAGGCGACAATGTTGTTGCTTGCGTAGCGATCAGCTGGTAATGAATACAAGCGGTTTGTCGCCGCGGTAAATATACTAGCGGGCTCCGAAAGGTCTGGAAACCAAAGGATTTCAGAACTTTCGGAGCGTCTTTAAAAGCAGAATGCGCGAAGGTTCTGCGTTCGCGAAAGTTCTGGACCGTTCGCTCGAACAGTAATATTGACCACTCCATTGGTCTGCGAGGTCCTCGCTCCACCAACTCCGTGGACATCCAATGAGGAGCGTTGCCTTCTGAGTCTCAGCTGATTTACTAAAGACTCTGAAATAAGAGAAACTTCAGAACCTGAATCAACCAGAATTCTTACTTGCTGTGTTGCGAGGTCAGTGTGCACTCTTGCGAGTGCCGTTGCTAGAAGCGTTGTCCGTGATCTGCGTGTTCTAGTTGCGTGGGCCGAGCGATTCCTGAGTGCGTGGGCTGCGATGGCTGCGGGTGCTTTGACGACTGCACCGTTGAAGTCGTGGGCGTGGTCTGCGTGGCTGTGACTGGAGCCGGCGTGTGCGTGGTCTGTGCTGCTGCTGCAGGAGCAGGGCCAGGCACCAACACCCTGCTAATATCCGCGCCGTGTAGCATGGTGTGATGAACCTCATCACATATTTTGTACCGTTGAGTGGTGCGACAGCTGCGTAGATTGTGATAGCCAAGGCAATTCACGCAGAGTGCGTGCGCCTTGACCACGTTGATGCGGTCGTACGGGGTCAGTGCCCAGAAGACCGAGCATGCGGACAGGAAGTGATCCTTCTGGCAAAATGCACAGGGATACAACGCTGACTGCGGTGTTCTTACGTGTCCTGAGGGTGCTGCGTGGGCTGGAGCTGGTCGTACTGTTCCTACGTGGACGGCGGCTCTGCACGATGCAGGGAGTTGCTGCGGCGGCTGCGTGGTCCTTGTTGGTGCTGCAGGCGTGGGCTGAGCAGCTCGTGCAGTGCTGAGCTGCTCCAGCTGCTCGAGTGTGCGTGCGCGGGCGAGTAGGAACGTGTTCAGTTGCTCCAGCGTCGGGTATTCCTTCGTCGTGGCCAGCGAGGACTCCCAATACTCGCGCGTGTCCGCGTCGAGCAGTCGTACGAGCATGGTGAGGAGGGTCACCTTCTGTGATTTTACAGAAGTTTGTTGGCAATGTGATACATTGCGTGGATTCATCGATTGCCATTTTACCATTCCCAATATCCAACAATTGTTTTGCGAAACGTTCAGCGGATGCATCATGTTGTACTTGTACACGCATATTGGTCTTCAAAGTCAATTTCTGTACGTGTCGTCATAAAACTGATGATTTGAGACATGCATTAAGTTCATCAGCGGGTGTTGAACGTGGTATAACTGGTAGAGTTTGTCGAAAATCACCTGACAATAAAATAAGTGCACCACCAAAGACCTGTTTATTTCCTCTCAAATCTTGTAGTGTACGATGAAGCGCTTCCAATGCTTTTTTGTGCGCCATAGTACATTCGTCCCATATAATGAGTAGATATGATTGAAGTACTTTGCTCATTCCAGAATTTTTGTTGATATTGCATGTTGGTGTTTCAGTGATTTGCATATTCAACGGCAATTTCAGTGCTGTATGCGCTGTTCGGCCACAGTGCAATATTTTTTCGTACTCGTATGGTTGCCAAAATAAGTGAAATGAGGAAAGTTTTGCCTGTTCCTCCGGGTGCATCTAGGAAATACAATCCGCCGCTTTGTCTTGTAATTACATGCATAATTTTGTCATACGCTCTGCGTTGTTCTGGAACCAATTTTGGAAGATTCGTTACAACAAATATATCCAATTCGTCGACATCAAAGTGTGTTTCTCGTTGCAAATCATGCTCGAAGAGGTCGTTTGCAAATCGATTCGGAGCAGCCATTCCCAATTGCACCAGTGCTTTGTTAGCGATTGCCAAACATATGTCCTCAATGGAAACCAATGCCTCATTATACGCGTTTGGTGTGAATTGAATGTCCGGATTTTGATTCGTTGCACGCAAACGATGTAAGATGTCTTCACTCATGTAGTCTTTGTATTTTTTCCAAAGATCTTTTGGATTGGATGGGAAGCACATTGTCAATATGATTGCAAATAACGTGCGTATTTGCTGTGGTTGAGCAGTATTCGATGCATCAGCGAGTGAAGTGTCCCAATGTGCATCGTTTTCAAGAAGATTTAATTCTTGGCAAGCTTCACGATAAGTGGCACATACTTAACCGTTTACTGTTCTCAATTCTTGGAAGGATGTCGGTCCACGTACGTTGATTAACAGTAATCGCAAGTAAAAGCATTCTGCATTGTTTGGGTAAACAGTGTACAGACGGCCTAATGTGTCGGTCGAATATAAATTGGGATGTCCTTCAACTGCTTTACCTTGTTTGCGACGTTCAAACTTTTTTGCTGATGCATTCCATGTGTAGTATGTTGGCACTTCAGAGTAAAGTAGCGTTTTTGCAAACATATCATTCCCGCACATTGAGAAAAATGCAGTTAACTTTATTGGCGGCGATGACAATGCTCTTGCACGTGCATTTTCTGTTGTGAAGTACACGCGCTGTCCGTTTTCAAGGTGTACTGCCAAATGAACTGTTGGATGTCGTTCATGGATTGGAAATGATAAAATGCGCCATACTGCTTCATTGCTACTAATGTAGCGTCCCAGTTGATATTGGTTGATTTCATCGATAGATGCAGTTGCATTTCCCACTCCAAAAACTGCCATATCGCTTCCTTTGTTGACATATTTGCAAATGTACTTGATCGATTTCACCGAATTACAATACTCGACATTGATGTGTGCTTTGTACGTTTTCGAAAGTAACGGTGAATACGGTACAACCCAACGATTATCGACTTCAACATCATTGTTTCGTACTTTTAAAGTGATGGATTTGCCGCCATCTTCAGTTGATCGTCGTCGATAGAGTGGATATCCATCATTGCCAGTGATAGTCTCGGCAAGTAAGTTTCTTGGGTATCGTTTCGTGCATTTTCCATCAGATATGCATGGTGAGTTGTTGTTGAGTAAGCCACATGGACCATGAATCATGTTTTTGGTGACGACTTCAAATAAGTCTGGATCAATGTCGACATCTGGTATTTCTGCTGAGATGACTTGATCAATTTGATCTGGTGTGACTTTTTCGATCAACCAAATCAAAATGTGTGCATGTGGCAACCCTCTTTATTGCCATTCAATGGAATACATCCAACAGCGTGTCTCTCCAAAAACATGATGCTTGACAATGAAATTCATTAAAGATTTCAATTTTTGTTCGAACACACGCGCGGATATATTATGACGATCCGATGATGATTGTCCAGTTAACAAAAGTTCTTTTATTTCATCCCACGTAGGATTGCATGTGAATGTAATAAACAGATTTGGCCGGCCATTTGCGCGAACATATGTCATTGCATCTTGTGCGTATTCATGCATGTGCCGTGGACTCCCTGTAAATGTGGCCGGTAGTATGACCATTTTTCCTAATTCATTTGGATTCACATTGCCATCATTAACAACTGCATCACGTAAATGAATGTACTCTTCGGAACGCAACTTGGTTTGATTTAATCGAATGTAGAGGAGTCGTTCGGTTTCGATTTTCGCATACATATCGACAATGTATTGATGGAACAATTGCCCACATTTCAAGATATGATTTTCAGCGTTTTCACGAATCGATATGAATAGTAATTCATGCCACTGACTTTCTTATTCGTTTCCAAATTTGTTTGTGGATTTCTCATTTTGATGTTGAAATGATATCCATCTTCTCCTTGCCAAAATAAAATCGGATATTGCAATCCATCGTATGAGCGATGAGTTTCTAAGACTCGCTGAACATCACCATTTCTGCGATGAAGAATTATATCACGCGAGTTAAATTCTTCGCCAACTATAACGATCGCCACTTCATCAATTGTTGGTGCATTGTATTGTCTTTCGTGTTGGCCGACAGGTGTTTTGTCTGCTCTAACTACAACTTTGTAGTCATCAGCTGGCATTTGTTCAAGGGCAGTTCTGAACAATCGAATTAATTCGTTGTGTTGATCGAATAAAGTTTTTTAATGCAGCGACAATTTCTCGTTTAGTGCCCGTATTGAATCGACAACGTTGATCGATTTGTTCATCAATGTTTCCCATGAAATAAATTTGAAGAAATTTGTGATCTGCGTCCGGCAGTGGTAGTAGTGATCCTGCTCGATGATATATTTGCCCTTGCACTTCGAATGTTGGTATGTAATTTTCGCGCACGATATTTGTTGCACCGAACGATGTCATTTGGAAACATGAATTGTACTTGCGTATGTTTGCCAAGAAATGTTTCGATTGGCTTGTGTCACCTGATACCAACGTTGATAATGGTTCGGGTGGTGAATGTAACTCTGGCAATTTAACTTTTCCACACGCGCAGCACATCCCAGGTGTTTCATTCTTAAATTTGAGGGCACTGCAATACACGCATAATTTATACATTTTCCCAATAACCACACTTGAATGATGACTATAATCATAATTAGCATCGTAATGGAATGCCTTAAGATTTAAATCACCGTGCAGTGTTCGTCTGGATCGAGCAGTGCGTATTCGAACGGATTCCAATCTAGCTTCCCGTTGTTCAACTGTTTCAGACGAACAGGCTTGAGCATTGCGTACTCGACCGGTTTCCAGTCTTGCTTTCCGTTGCTCATCTGTTTCAGACGAACGGGCTTGAGCAGTGAGTACTCGAACGCTTTCCAGCCTTGCTTCCTGTTGCTCGTCTGTTTCTAAAGCTCGTTATGCCTTTCTCTTTCGTGCTTGAGGTGTAGATCGACCAATCGCTTGTCGTTTGGGTGGCATAATGGATATGACCGCGAAAGTAATGCTTTTTGACGACTATTACAAATTCACTTTGAAAAAGTAAAGTAAATGCGTGAGATATTTATTATCTAAGATCGACCGACAATTTGAATTTCACAATCAACACCACTTGTTGTCACATCCGAACTGAAATTTCGCTGTTTATATTTGATTCAATTGACCTCTGTCAAGCGAGCGCACTCATACACCAAAAACATACGAACTGCCGCTAAACTATATGAAATACATTCATTTGTTTAAACGACTCGCGCGCCACCTATTGTAAAGTAGTTATACTTATTTAGAAACCTTCGCTGGTGTTCGCACAACAACTCACCAAAATTTCATCGCAATCGGATGAATGGTGTAGGAATGCATACGTGACAAACAAAGAAACATTCATTTTTATATATATAGAAGATATAAGATATATAGATATATATAAAAAAAGGTAAGTAATTATTTGAATTATATAAAAAGGTAAGTAATATAAAATATAATGAATAATATAATGAGTTAATGTAATCAATGTACAAATGCTGCACCCTGTTTTGAAATACGAAAAGAAAATAATTATATTATTTGAGTACAGTGAGTACGCCCTGAATTAGAAAATACAAAAGAAAATAACAATCGCGTTTGTGCTAAAATGAAATACAATGAAAGAAAATTCAGATTATTAATTACAAAATAATTCGTCCTAAAATAAAATACAAAGGAAAATAAATTAATTAGTGAACGCGACTCTAGATACGATTGTCAAAACTCTAAATCTATAATTTGAATTTATAAAATAATATTATCTAAATAAATTGATCGATTGTCGGAAAATTGGCGAGGATCCGTTCCGACACTGTAGGAGCTAACTCGTTCGGCCGCGGTACGATTTCTGGGCAACTTAGTCGTCACTGATAGGCCGCATCCAAGGAGCTTCTGCTTTCGCTCGCTGGTTAAGCTTGGTAACGAACACTGCAGGACGGTATCGTCGCTCTAGAGCCAGTGTACTACATAGTAGGCCGCATCCAAGGAGCTTCTGCTTTCGCTCGCTCGTTAGGCTTGGTAGCGAACCTGACACGTATGAGAACCGCTGCGAACCGGTAGTCGAGCGCCCCGGGTCCGACGCGGAACCTTTGCCGCCTTGCCTACAAAAGAATCTATGCTACTGAATTCTAAGTAATAATCGTACCATAGACCCGTGTCGGACTACGCTCGTATTTATACCAGAAATTTACTGACGTAGCAGTTTTTTCTACACGTACTTTTGATACTGGAAGTGCTTGGACTTTGACCCGAGTGTACGTGACTCCGCGCGAACGCTATCTCTGTCTACGCATAGTTGCTATCTCTCTCTACTCTGCGCTCAGTTGCTGTCGAAGATACAAAAAGATACAAAAATAAATAAACGAATTGTTACAAAACTTGATTATAAAAAAACGAAAAATAAATAAATGTCTTGATAAATACTAATAATAAAATTCTTTTTTATTCATTCTTCTTCTTCCGGGATGTTACAGCCTTCCCCCTGTGTGGGTCTCTTGTCCTCAAGAGACTCTTGTTTTGTTGTTCGCTTCTGGCTGCAAATTTGACACAGGCATTTGTCCTCTTCGTTCCTGGGGGATGCGGCTAACCTTCCGAAATATCTGAGGATTCTTACATGTCTTCTTCTTGGGTCGGTTTTGTTTAATTTCTTGAAAATTTTCCAGTTTAGCTCTGGGACATCAATGAGGATTAACCTCCATGGTGTATATTGTTTTTCTTCATGTTGTGTTGGAGCCTTTTGGAGAAAACTCAGAATAATTAGTAAAATTATGGATTAAGAGAAAGAAGTATACCTGTACCTCGTTGAGTCGTTTTAAAGCTTTTCTTAAGCGTTTTAGCTGCTGTCTTTTTTCGGCGCGTCGAACCATACTTGTTGTTGAAATTTTTGAAAACAAATATGGCGTTCGCTTAGATGGCGCTTTACGCCTTCTTTCTTTTTTTATCTTCTTTTCTCTGTCTTTCCTCTTCTAGGAAAGACCATAATGGCGTTTAAAGGTTCTCATTGAATAAATGAACGCTTTTATAGAAAAATAGAGTTATAGTTTATTATAATAAAAACGTTTTTATAAATATATATGTATCATAATATTGAATATTTTGTTACTGCTAGAAAAGGTCATGTAAATATATTATCTCATGGTCTTCGGGTGGGAAGAGCGTTCCGTGCTCGAAAATTTCTTTGTCGTCTTGATCCATTTCCCTTATGGCTATTAGGCATTTATTGCATGCCATGGCGGGTTGAAAATCGCCGTACTCCCAACCACATGCTATACAGCGAGTTTGCTCTATGCGGAATTCTTTGACAACAAAATGGTGTGTGCCTTGATGTACCCAATGTCCCCGGACTTCTGGACGTACTCGTCTGGCGCAGTTAAAGCAGAGCCGTTTTGAAGTTGGGGGAAAGATATTCTGGAAAGCTACACTGCAATCCACTATGCAGAGAGCATCGATGGTTGCTGCCGATGCACACATTTTTCTTATTTCTATAAATTATTACGATATTTAATATTTATTTCTCGAATTTTAATATTATTTAATGCTTACTTTTTTTGTAATTCTTCATTTCCTTCACAATTTTCTTTTTCTAACACCTTTTCTTTCTTTATTAGCGAGAAAACTTTTCTGCTCCGGTTCACTCGGTGGTTGCTGTGCGTTCTGTACAGTAGCGTTCTTTTTGGAGTGCTTCCACTAGCTTTCAACGGTTTTTTGAATTTTCGTCAGTGCGCATGCGCGTGTTCATGAACCTAATTGATTTTTGCATGGATCTTCATGTTTGATCTATGATGTTGATTGGTAGATAGGCCCTCTTTAGCCTATCTTTGTGAACGATTCGCTTTTTATTGGGTCCTATTGCCAATTCTATGTTATTTGGTTCTATGTTTCGAAGTATAGTATATGGTTCAGTGTATTCTTTTTCAAATTTGTTTCTTCTAGGCGGGTTTAACAGTATAACTTTTTCACCTGTTTCGTAGTTTATTGGTTGAATTTTTCTGTCGTAATAGTGTTTTTGTCTCGGTTTTTCTTTTTCTAAATTCGATTTTGCTATATCTCGTAAATTGTGCACTGTTTGGATCAGTTTTTCGATATAACCGGGGTATGTTTTTAAATTGTCAATCGGTTTGATACTTGACGGCTGTCGAGCTTTCTTTCCAAAAACTAATTCGTAT